ATCTATTTAAAGCATATATTGTTAGGGTTACTAACTGGTGTTGTATTTACATATGTAAGACTTTAATGTAATTCTGGTACCAAATGTTCCGGAAACCGGAAATTTCCGGAACGATTTTCCGGAAAATTTCCGGAACAATATTCCGGAACGATCCGTAATTCCGGAACAACGTTCCGGAAATTTCCATTTTACGGGGAAAAAAATCGTTCCGGAATTCCGGTTTTCCGGAACCTTTTCCATAATTCCGGTGGAAACCCTAACTGGAGGGATTCAGATATCTTTCCAGGGGGTTTATAATTCCACTGGATGGATTCAGATATCTTTCCAGGGGGTTTATAATTCCACTAGAGTGATTCAGATATCTTTCCAAGGGGTTTATAAATCCACTGGAGGGATTCAGATATCAAGCTAGTTTTTATCATAAATTTTAATATTAAAAGGGGGGCAAAGGCACCGTCCTCCCACCCTAGCTACGGCCATGATTTAGGGTTTCCTATGTAAAGATTTGAAAGTTATTGATTAAATTAATGGTAAAACTATTTTCTTTGAAACAACATCAATACTACACCTAAGTATTCATACTAATGTCGTCTTTTTATTCCACAGTTTTCTGGTTCTCACTGTTTATATTTTTCCTAACTATGTTTCTTTTGAAACAATTGTCCATAGTCCTTTAATTCTCATTGAATCTGAATAATTTCTTCATGTTCGCTAAAGGTTTGGATTTACGAATCCTAGAAGACGACATTATAATCCGTAGCTAAATACTCCTAGCTCATTCGTCATTTTCTCGTCAACTTTTCAAATCTTTTCATAGGAAACCCTAAATCATGGCCGTATCTAGGGTGGGGGAACGGTGCTTTTGCCCCCCTTTTATTAATCAAATTTATGATAAAACTAGCTTGTGAACCCCAGCGCTGCCAAGGTTACTAAAAGTTACTCCCGCCATTTACCCGCACTTTGACGATTTTACCGAGAAACTAAATTTTCGCTTTACATTAAAATGTCGACCCACTCAACTGAGAATCTGAAAACCAAGCTTAGACCATTCCCGTCCGAGTAACCCTATCAAAATTTGAGGCAAATCGGTCAAGGGGTTCCTGAGTTATGGTCGGACAAACAAACAGACAGACACACAGACTGAAAAACAGACAAGCAGAGATTACAACTTTATATTAATAAAATAAGTGCTTTTTCACCGCCTGTTTACTACCAAAACTTTCAGTTTAACGGGCCTGCAGCCGAACTAACCCATTTTTTTTTACCAAATCTATCTTGTCTTTTCCATAAAATTTTATTCTTAATTGGTATTTTAATAATTTTTTGCAGGGGCGTACACAGGAATTTGTTCGGGGGGGGGGGAATTTTTTGACATTCCTTGGTTGATGGGGCCGAATCTGCCTGGAAAGCCCCCCCCCCCCCCCTTGATTTTTTTTATTACTTTTCCTCTTACGTATCTACTTAATGCCTTTTTTATTTCTCTTTTTTTCTGCTAGTCATCTAATTCTTATTTTATTCTCTTTATTTTCCAAAAAGTGAAGATCTTCTTTATAGTCGAATTGTTTATCATGAAGTTTCTGTATATCTAAATATTTAAATTTATTTCTATAGAATATTTGACGATATCGAATATCAATTTGAATCCGTTCCTAGGATTTAGGGATTACCATGAATTAGACAAAGATTTCATTTCAATCCGTTCAGATATAAAACCTCGTTAGTTTATTTACTTCCGGAGTTTCTCCGTCAAAATTAGGATTCTTGAAGATTTTAATATTAAATTAATTTTTTGTTCCTTGACACCTTCTGAATCCCTCCAGTGGAATTATAAACCCNATCTAGCTATTCAACCAGATCTAGCTATTCAATCAAATCATAGCGAGTCAACAAGACCATAGCTAGTCAACCAAACCTAGATAGTCAACCAGATCTAGCTAGTCAACCAGATCATAAATAGTTAACCAAATCATAAATAGTCAACCAAATCTAGATAGTCAACCAGATCATAGCTAGTCAACTAGATCATAAATAGTCAAGCATATCATAAATAGTCAACCAGATCATAAATAGTCAACCAGATCATAAATAGTCAACCGGATCTAGCTAGTCAATCAGATCATAGCTAGTCAACCAGACAATATCTAGTTAACCAGATTATAGCTCTCATCAACCAGACCTAGCTCGTCAACCAGACCTAGCTCGTCAACCAAACCTAGCTAGTCAACAAGATCTATTTAGTCAATCAGATCATATCTAGTCAATCAGATCATATCTAGTCAACCAGACCTCACTCGTCAACCAAACCTAGCTAGTCAACTAAACTTAGCTAGTCAACCAAAACCTAGCAAGTCAACCAAACCTGGCTAGTCAACCAAACCTAGCTTTTCAACCAAACCTGGTTTGTCAACCAAACCTAGCTAGTCAACCAAACCTAGCTAGTCAACCAAACCTGGATAGTCAACCAAGTCTAACTATAGTCAAGATATTCTTCTTTAGGTTTCAATTAAGTATAAACAATATTATTTGGTTTTATTTAAAAAATAAATGTATTTATAAATATATTCACATATACAGTATTTCATCCTGCCTGGCCCAAACTTTCGGACTCGGTTTTCCTCTTACTTGTATATGGCCCTTTGGACTGTTTGGATGAATGATGGATTGATTGTTTGTTTTATTGATAAATTGATTATTAGCTAACATAGCAGCATCCCTGATAACTAGGAGCACAGAAGGATGTATCTGATATCTCCTGAGTAGAAAATAAAGATAATAACGGATATTACCAAAAAATGATTTTCAAAAAAGGCGCAGTTTAAAACTGTTGTTAGCAACCAGAATTTTGATCAAATTATTACAATAATTGTTATTATGCATATCATAATAATATTATCAGAATCATAATCAGAATTGTTGTTAGATTATCGCGAAGAATATCATCTGAGGGATTATTAATTGTCATAATCAGAATTATTTCTTAAAACTTGTAAATTAAGATTAGAAATTTTAAAATAATTAAATTCAAATCAAAAAAGCGCTTTCAGTTTGTAAAAGTGAAAAAGAGACCCCCCCCCGCCCCCCCCCAGTATCCCGTACCTTTCCCGATTAAAATTAAAACCCCTTTTCTCCCTTTCCCCCAGAAACCCCCTCCAATATTTATTCCTTCCATTGAAAATATCTTTGTTTCAAGACCTGAACGTGATCTCCTTTGACAACTGTATTGTAGACGGAATCAACAATGGCGGAGAAATCCGGGAAGGTTTTCATCTTGAGTTTGGAGAAGAGGAGTTCTCCTCCGACCCAAACCTCAAAGGAGGTTTTTATGTAGGGTTTCTTAGAGACACGGATTCCAGGAACCTTCTCCTCTATCATACTCGCTAAAAAAATATACAGAAAGACGAATTCAGTTTTGATAAAAAAGGGCAAACAAAATACAGCCTGTTTTTAACTTTGGTCTCATCCTTTCATTTTTTACCTAATAGATCAGCTCTAGGAGGATATCCTCAACATTTACTAAACTCAATCAAAACACCGACCTAAAAAGAGATGCTTTTAAAAGGAACAAAATTCAGCTTTTTTTCAAAAGAATTGTTTTGAGAAAACTTCTCTGGTTCCTGGATATGATATCCTGGTGGTTCACCTTCTTTTCTCCGTGTCCTGTTTCCTGTCCTGAGTTTACAATATTCTTCCTGCTCATGGTGCTACTGGTTACTGAGAACCAGAAGAAAGGTTCCATTGGCTTTCACTACTTTCTCCTCAAACCTTGGCCTAATAACTGCATGGAAACTGTTAATAAAAAACATGTTAATAAAAAATTTATTCATCATTTTACAATTATTATCATCTTTTAACAAAAAGCTCATTTAAAAGTTTATCTATTCATTTTTTAATTTGGTAAAAGTATAAAATGGGGTCCAAAAATAAGTTTCAAAGTATACAAAGTATTATTTATTATTCATATAAACTAATACAAAATAAAAAAAATAAAAGTGTTTTCAGGGAAATTATTTTTTAAATCCACAAATAGAGAGATTATCAAAAAAACTAAGTTTAATTTTATAATCCTTATCTCCGTAACCTGATGTAAACCTCGTAAACTTTTAACTAAGAATTCTTCTAGATCAAACACGCTTACACCAACAGACTGCTACCGTTATAGAGATTAGAAAATTTAAGGCGAGTATACAGTTTCTTTGTCCCTCATATTAACGTAGACAAAAATTATATCATATCGCAATAGTAATGGTAATATTTGAAATGACGGAGATTGAAAATTATGTTTACTGTATTTTTTGAGAAGAATAATCTCCAAAAAAAAACATTTCTCTCACTCTATGTTTAAAATCTAGTTGGGGTTTAGTAAGATATGAGAATAAATGTGTTCCTGGATAAATGTGTCCCCGGATGGTTGAGATTTTCATATTTTATTCCGTAAGGGTTGAGATAGAGTTGAGATATTGAATTGATATTGAAATCTTCTCCCTTGGGAAAACGAGGCGACGACAGGGATGGATATTCTTTTAACCTTGAACTTTTTTCTCCTTTTTCTTTCTTATCCCCCCCCCCCCCCACTATGGACAGTGTATTTTGGAAAAGTAGGGAGGGTATATTCAACCGTTTCCCTAAGGGGAATTTGCAAAAGGGGGAAAGATTTAGAGGGGAGGGGGGGGGGAGGTATAAACAAATATTACACACATATATTGGTATTAACATTTTAGCAGATTATGACGTGAAGAATTCCCCAGGGTGGGAACCAGGGATTTAAATATCAAACAAGTTTAAAAGGAGGGGGTAGGAGAAGGGAGAAGGGGGAAAGTTGATGGAAGGGGAAGGGGTTGCAGAATGGGGGAAGGGGGTAGAGATGGCCGATTGGCAACGTTTCGTTAACGAACGGCAGTTTTAGAAAATTACCGAGCTTACCAACCGTTAACTGTTAAGGCAGTTAATATATATCTGGTATATTTCCGTTAACGCTCTTGAAAATATATTCGCCATAGAACGGCAATTTCATTAACGAACGGGACTACCCATTAACTAACTGAAAGTTCAGTTCTAAATGAGATAAACCTGTCCGTTCCGTTAATTTTTATGACCGTAAACGAACGGATTAAAAAAATCGTAAGTGTCGAGATCTTAGGAAAGGGTCGGGAAATCGGATTTTAGAAGGAGAATGATAAGGGGGGCATGGAAGTAGGAAAGAAAGAGGAAAGGTAGGACAGAAAGAGGAAAAGTAGGATAGAAGGAGGAATAGTAGGATAGAAGGAGGAAAAGTAGGATAGAAGGAGGAAAAGTAGGATAGAAGGAGGAAAAGTATGATAGAAGGAGGAAAAGTAGGATAGAGGAAAAGTAGGATAGAAGGAGGAATAGTAGGATAGAAGGAGGAAAAGTAGGATAGAAGGAGGAAAAGTAAGATAGAAGGAGGAAAAGTATGATAGAAGGAGGAAAAGTAGGATAGAAACAGGAAAAGTAGGATAGAAGGAGGAAAAGTAGGATAGAAAGAGGAAAAGTAAGATAGGATAAAGAAAAGGTTAAATAGAAGGATTAAAAGTAGGATGAAAGGAGGAAAAGTAGGATAAAAGGAGGAAAAGTAGGATGAAAGGAGGAAAAGTAAGATAGAAGGAGGAAACTTAGGATAGAAGGAAGATACGTAGGATAGAAAGGGAAGAGTATGATAGAAAGAGGAAAAGTAAGCAAGGATAAGGAAAAGTAGGATAGAAGGAAGTATAGTTGGATAGAGAGAGGGAGTAAAGTTTCTAAATTTAAATGATTTGAACACGAATAAAAATCCCTTGGACGCCTAATTTTCTCCAAATATTCCCCTTTTTCACCAGCATTAGACATTCTTTCATTAAATTTTCTACAAGTTCTGCATTGAAATAGCCCCTTTATTTCATTAAAACTTTTTATTACGTTTCTAAACAAGCAACTGCCAAGTATCCAGTGAAATTAAAACTTGAAATTACAGATATTGGAATCCAAATTATTCTAAATAGAATTTAAACTTTTTTAATCCCATTCTCAAGTTTTAGATTAAATATTTTTTCAAAGCTAAGGTATTCTCTTTTATCAGATACATGTAACGTACATTGTACAAAGAACTCTTTCACCGATTTTTTTATCAGCTCCTGTACATGAAACAAAAAGTATCTGCATTAAACTTGTTGTATTATTATGAACAGATGTTACATAATTAATAATAAATTTGTATTACATATTGTAAGCATGTAGATAGGCTTACTTGTAAATAAGTCAACAATAGCAGTGGGACAGATAACAAGTCATCTCATCTATATCGTGTAGGAAGATTCGGCCGTTAAAAAATGACAACCCAGAGAATGCTTTGAACGCATGTTTAGGGGCATGGAGAACCAAAGCCACCGTTGGACCGGGAATTCTATTTTCTAAGTTTGAAATCAAGCCAATAGGCATGAGACACGGCTTGACATGAGGCAGAAGGAAAAAGAATTGGCCTGGGCTAAAACCGAAACAAAATGTTAGTATTCACGAAGAGTCCGAAGACGGAAGATTAACTTGTCGTATGAGGCTGTCAGAGAGCTCCGGCTTTCCATGATTCATTAGTACAATTTTTTTGTTCATTTTTTACTGGTAAATAAATAATTCCCTATCCCACATCAGTTTTCAGGCTTTAGATTTCCTTATTTTCATACCATTTTATATAGTAACAATATCTTGAAAATGTTCTATTGATCAGTTCAGATCATGTGCATGAAACATAAATTATTTGGCTGGAAAAACATCTTGAATGAGAATTCAATTTTTCAGCATTATTGTAGACTTCAGGACTTTTAATATCAATATACTTTAAATTCAATTTTCTGAAGAAAAAAATTAAGAAATTTTTGACCTGAAATCTCAAAGCTGAGAGTCATTAAAATAAATTTTACTTGTTTTTGTATTAAAACTCTTCCTGCAGGTTACTTTACTCTAGGAAAGTCTCCCCCTCCAGTTCCACCCACCCCCTCCCATCTTCTTTTACTCCGACCCCAGCTCTGAATAATTTAAAGGAACAGGTGTATAAACTCAGATTTAATTTCAATCTTTTTTAAAAAAAATGTCATTTCTCTGATTTTCTTGGGGTTTTCTTCCAGGGAGCAGGAAGCAGGAACTATTTTACTTAAACTTCTGTCCACACATCCTGTTCCTAGATCTTCTCTCTCCATGTCTCTCCATCTCTGCATCCCTGTCCCATGTCATCCTGGACTAACCAGGGCGAGATGAATTCGGTTTCTTCTCTTTCACATTTTGCTCCGTAATTCAACAATCTATAAACTTATGTTATAAACTTGTCATTTTTAAGCTTTTTCCTCATATAAGCATATGTCGACAAAAAAGTATAAAAGAAAAAAGGTGAAAATGTATGTTTAATAGGTCAAATTGTGATCGAAAGTGAGAGCTTGCCGGGATAAGGACAAAATTTTTAAATCCACGTTTTGTACCCCTGTCTCATTGCCTCTTTCCACCATCTCTCAATCCATGTCCCTTTTCCCCTCTTAAGGTCGTGTCCCCTTCATTTCCCAAACCTTGTCCTTTGTCCCCTGGATCTCCCTGTCTTCAACTTCTCTTCTCAGTATTTCAATGTCAACCTGTCCCTTCATATAAACTATATTCTACCATTCCCTTACTTTAAGATTTAACTGTCCTTTCCTCGATCCCGCTCTCCTTTCGTATCCAGTCCTTTAACCTTTTTTATCATTCTTTCCCTTTCTTACAATTCCAGTCCCCTTCAGACCCTTTCCATATAAACTACGGCCTTTCCTTTCCCTTTCTTGCCTTTCCTGTCCCAACATTCCCCATCCATTTTCACTATACCCTGTCCTTTCCTCTTTCTAACCACTTCTATCAACTCCTGCTCATATCCTTGTAACTAACTCTGTCCTTTCCATTTCTTACCTTTACTGTCTCCTCCTTCACCTTTCTTATTAGCAATACCCTTATCTTTTCCTTTCTTACCACTTCTTTCCAGTCCTGTCCCTTTCTCTTCTAATTACACAAATCTTTAAAAACCGCGAAACCTCCAAGTTGAACTTATTTAAACTCTATTCTATAAAAAAAAGGAGGTGCTGAGTGTAACGAATTTGGCAAACTTATCTATCTATCTATCTATCTATCTATCTATCTATCTATATATCTATCTATCTATCTATCTATCTATCTATCTATCTATCTATCTATCTATCTATCTATCTATCTATCTATCTATCTGGTTCTCATTGTCCACAGATCAGAAATCTATTGTATAGGGTTCAATTCTCAGATATACATTATCTATCTATCTATCTATCTATCTATCTATTTATCTATCTATCTATCTATCTATCAATGTGTATCTGTGTAGTGTTACATCTGTCTATTTAATATTTAGTATAAGCTGAGTGGTCATTTGGTTCTCATTGTCCACAGATCAGAAATCTATTGTATAGGGTTCAATTCTCAGATATACATCTATCTATCTATCTATCTTCATATCTATCTATCTATGTATCTATGATCTGTATGAACCTATACTATTCCAATAGTATATGCCATCAATCAACTACCAGTTCACACTTATCCTAATCAACTAATCCTAAAATTTATCCATCCATCCAACCATCCATCCTTCTATCCGTCCTGGATATATTTTGATTATAAATATTGTGAATACTGTCTCCTATGTGTCTCTATAGTAACCCTATTGTCTCCTGGAGTCCAGTATCCCGACCCCTGTCTATCATCCATCATCCAATCATACTCCATCCATGCTTCCATCC